GGTAAACGCGTTTAATTTATTAGCGGAGGAATTTAATTTCTTTAATAAAGAAAGCAATAATTTCTTCAAGTATTGCTTTCCAAAATTCTACATCCTCTTTAAATTTGAAAAAAGATTTATAATTCTCTTTATAAACGGTAGGGTTATTACCTTAGGTAGGGCGGGTAGGGTCGGCGGTAGGAATCGGACCGGTTATCTTAACCTTTTTATTATTCTTCTTTAATTTAACCTCCTATCAAATAGTCTTTTTCGTAGCGTCCTTAGCGGGTATATATAGCGTCTTCTAGTTAGCCAATATAAAGGTATTTTACAAAGTAAATTAACCGGTTTACAAAATAGGTTATATGACCGGTAGGGTCAAATCCTTTCGTTAACGCTCAACCAAGGGTCTTAATTAATTAATTTAATTAATAGCTACCGGGTAAGTAAGGGGTAAGGACGTTCTACCCGAAGTATCGATATAGAAGAACGAATTAAAGAGGGAATAAAACTATTTTCGGAGGGGGGCGGACGCTTTTCATTATACAGGAGTTTTAAAGCCTTTGTAAACGTTATCGATAGCTTCGATAATAATTTCGGCGACTTCTAATCGCGCTTAGAGTTCCTAAATAAACTCCTCGTTAACTTTACGTAGGGTAGCTACGATATCGGCTATAAAGGGCGCTATCGTAGCCAAATTATCGAAACATCGGACTCGGGGCCCTTCTCGTAGTAGTAGAAAGTTGTAATAGTTGTATTGGTATTGAAACGACAATTCAAGATACCCAATCCTAATTGGTTTACTCCGCGGAGAACAATTCTAATTGGCCGGAGCCAGTTCAGAAAAGTATTTTTCGGGAGAAGGTTACATACAGGACGAAGAAATTATAAGGGGGCGCACCCTATTTCGCTTTGTAATTCCGCTCTTACCTAAGCCGGCGTCCTCTTAATAAAAGCCACCGTTAGTAAGCGGATAAATTAGTCTTTAAACGTTCTAACCTTTTAATTAAAATAAAGGTTAAGGGGTAGGTAAAAAATATACGTTTTGATATTAAACGTAAACGTTACCTTATAAATATTAAGAATTACCCTAAAGTAATTAATTTAAATCGTTGCGAGAATTTTCGCGAAATTGCGTAATTCCCTTAACGGTTCCATTAATATATAATATATTACCGTTCTATAAACTACCGCCTTACGAATTGACTTTATATATATTTCCTTTATTCGAACGAGGTTATAACCCTATATTCTCGCTATAATATATAGAAACGCGAAAATTTATATTAATATTTTCTTCTTTACTATTTAAAAATATACCCGGTAAATTAATTTATAGTCTAATTATATCCCCAAGAACCGTACTAATTTTGTAAGGGTTAATTAGCACCCTCCGAAATCGATAATTTTGGTCTATAGTTGCTAGGTTTTAATAAAATAGATAAATTCAGACTTATTAACCTTAAATTCTATTTTATACTCTTCCGCACAATTATATGTTAAATCCATTAAGCGTCCTTTGATTTATTATAATTTTCTCTTATCGATTTCGAAAAGGTTAAAATATTAGTATTATTTACGAACCTTATTATTACTATCCTCCTTAATTCCTTTAGTATTTTATATAAAATAGTAATGAAAATTAAAAAGAGGATAGGCGAAAAGGGGGAGCTTTATAATATTCCTGCAAATACTTAAAATTCCCGAAATAATTTTCCGTCAAAGAATGAATTTACTTTCTAATTTATTAAGAAATTTTCGATTTAATAAAATAATTAATATAGAAGCCCGTTTTCAGATACAGTATAAAATAATTACTTATAATTAACCCAATTAAACGCCCTTTTAAAATTTAAGAATAATAATAATACTACCGCCCTTAATTCCTACGCTATATATACCATTTCTATTACTACCCTAACTACGAATTCTATCAATTTCCTTTTTCTATTCCCTATTTAGCCTTTTAATAGGAATTTATATTCCTCCGCTATAAAGGCGAACCATTATATACTTATCGCTTCTAATACTTTTCCTACGTAGTTTAAAAATATAATAGGGCGTTATATTCCCGCTATTTTCCTTTATACTATTATTCTTTTAGGTTTTTTGTAATATTATTACTTTCGTATAACGCTACTATATTAAGAATAAATTAAGGATAAAGCTCCCGGTAGCGATTATAATTAATATTTCCGCTAGCTATTTCCTATATACTTTAAATAATTTATTAGAGAGTTAGTCGCTTTTTAAAACTTTATTAGGGGTTATATAATATAGTATTGTTATTACGTCATCCGTATTAATTTTATAATTTATTAATAATTTAATCCCTCGTCTCCTTTTTTAATCTAGTAAATAATTTATCGGTATTTTTACCCCTAAGAAGAATATATCTACTAAGATCTCTACTTTATTTTTATAACCCCGTTTCTCCTGTATATTTTTTTTAATATAACGCCGGGATTTTAGGGGGGTTAGAAAATAAATAATTCTATATTCTACCCTACCGTTTAAACGTTTAAAATTTCTTCGGCTTTTTAATATATCTTCTATAAAAGTATATTACCGTTTCGTTTACATAAATTAAATAATTTCAATTTATTTCTATTTCGCTTCCTCCAATTTTCGCTTCCTTATTAATATTTTCTTTTATTTCTAAGCCTTCGCTATCCTTCTTATATATTTAACGGCCTCCTTTATATTCAAGTCCGATTAATTAATATACTTACCCTTTCCCTTTTTCCGTTTCGGAACCGCTTTGTTAGTAACCTTAATTAATTCCTCTATTAATCGGTCGGTTATAATTTCCAACCCGGCGATTATAGTAATTACCGACGGGATTATAATATATTCTTTCATAAATTCTTTAACTTTTTTAAATATTTATAAATATTTAACTATAACCTTTTATAATATCCTCCGGCTCTTTAATAATTTCAATATAAATGAGGATCAATTAAATTTAATAGTTTAATCCGGTAAAGACTTCGTCCTCTACTATTTAGTATATAGTATATAATATTTCCGTTATTTAAATATAATTAATAGTATTACTAAATTCCCGCTATATTTCCTTCTTTAATTATATCGGTTCGCTTTATAATATTATTAATACGAACCGGTAATTCGTTACTAGTAAAAAGAAAATATAATTACCCCTATTCGTCCTTTTATAAATATTCTATATCGAGTAATAAAGGTTTATATCCCCTAGTATAATATCCCTTCCTTTCAATTTCGATGTAATTTTTTTAAGGGGGGTATATTATGTACCTTTAGGACCCGAATCCTAAATTAATAAATAAATAAATTATACCCTTACTTCGTTATCCCCTTCCACGATTTTTATTATTACCTAATCCTGTCCTTATTTATAATTCTATCAATTAATTGCGAAGCATTTATTTATATACAATACCGCGCATCCTTAATTAATATTATCTAATCCATTAATAGGAAGCCCTAATATTAGGGATATTATTTACGGCCGTACTTTAATTTAATTTTTAGAACGTTATAATATTATAATCTTCTATTTCTAATATAACTTTTATCCTATTATATAACTTCGCTATATTCTAATATAGGGGGGATAGTTCAGTTGGGAAGATCTGGGCTTGGTTTACCTTGCGGTTGTTTCCGTGAGGTCGTAAGTTCGAATCCCGCTCCCCTCTCTTCCATCCGATCTTTTCTGGTTCTTAGATCGGATGGAATTCTTCCCCCACCCTAAGCACGTAATTAAACTTGCAGGGCTCTCCCTAATCCAAAACTTTGGGTACCCCGCCGAAAAGTGGATTCGGGTCGATTCTCCCCACTTCGAAAAGTAATTACCCCGTTCGACAGCACCACAGCTCCTCCGCCCAATTAGCGTACGATTCCCTACTAGCAAGCAGGGTAATGCTTGCTTCCTCGCCTCTACTAAATTAGAGCCCTCGGGCCGAAAGAAGACTTTAAGAAACGCCGATCGAAATCCGTAAGACCCCTCTTCCCTCCCCCTAAAATATTACCCCAATAATAAGACGTATCTGGGCGGTGAAGAAACGGTGGGGGTAGAGGGGCTGGCAATTGGAGGACCTTGAAGGAAGGCTTGGATTGAATGAAGATAGATATTAGATGTAAAGACGCGGGAGGTTTTTATCCGGTATTCGGCGATATACGGTTTTTCCGCCCGGCTTTGAACGACGAAGGACCGCATGCCTAAATAAGGCGACTAGATTAGAATAGTCAAAGCGTGAATAAGATCATTATTATATTCTAATATAGAATCCTTAAATTCATATAATAGACGTTCAAGTAACATTCTTTTAATATAATTGAAAGTTCGACTTGGTAATAATATTTAATATTATAAGAATTCTCTTTTAATATTTCACTCTAATTATATTTAATTTAATACGGAATTCTTTCTATACCTTTATATAAAGGCTACTTTTTTTATTAACCATTATTTATTATTCTTCGGACTCTAGAATTTTTAAATCTATATTTAAGATATTTAAATTACCGTCTTCGTTAACGGGTATAAATTAAGACCGAATAAACGTTATGAAAGGGTCCTTCTTTTCGAATCCCTATATTATTATAATTTATATTTTCTAAAAGAATTACTACTATATAACTTTATTAACCGGTTAAATAATTTTAAATTACCTAAAGGTTAGTATTTTATTAATTATATTTAATTTCGTCCATTAAGTAAATACGTATAAGCGTTCTATAAATATTATAAAAGAGCGACCGAACGCCGTCTTTATAAGCGGGTAATTACGAAAGAATACAAAATATTTTTTATGATTATAAAGGAAATATTTTACAAAATTAGGTTGTTAATTAAAGGGGTAATTGATTTCTATATCCTTTATTATTTTACTTAAATATTTCTTTTCGGCACAATAAAAATATTATATATTTCTTTCCTTAAAATAATAATTATATAAATAACCGAACTCCTAATAATTATAATACTATTAAAAGATTATATTATACTTAAAGAATTTATAATAAAATATATTACCTATTTAAAAGAGGGAATCCGTAATAAAACGAACCCTATCGTCTATAATAGTAACCTCTAGGAGGAAAGAACCCTTCTCGCTCCTATACTTCCTCCGGAATACCTTCGCTCTAATAATTTTAATTTTATTCGTTTCGGATATTTCCCTAACCAATTTCTCCCGCTTAAAATTATTAGTAAAAATCTACAATACACCAGAAATTATTACCGAAACTATATGGAATGTAATTATTGCATCCTTATAGAAAATATATATTATTTAAATGTAATTGTTTAAATATTGTTTCCTCCCTTCCTCTCCGAATATAATAATATAATTTCCGTTAAAATATAACTTCGTAATAATTTTAACTTCGGCTTTCGAATATTTTTAATTAATTATTTATATAACGTTATTTATTATACGCTTTTCCTACTCTATAAAGAGTAATACATCGTTCAATTTAATTATTAAACATTATTCAATTCGTAAGGGGATAAAACTTTAAGTATTTATTAAGGCGAAATGGGATTTTTTTAAGCCCGTCGGTCGAATATTTAAATCCGCAACTATAACAACTTAAATTTGCAAAAAAATTACCTACTTCTTTGTAATATCGGCGACTATTTTCTTCAACTCTTTTATATTATTTTTAAATTACTTAATAATAATATTACAAAATTAAAACGTTTAATTTTATATATACAAAATATCCTTAGTAATATTAAAAAATCTTTCTACTTACGTTACGTAAGCGTTGAACGGGCTATCGATATTAAGGAAACTTATAATTCTTAAAAAGAATTTCTTTATTTTCTTAAGGGGGTTTCGGAGCCGCAAAAACTTCGGGTTCGGCGCTATTAACCGTCGTCGTCGTCGTCGGTATTCTAGTCGCGGAATTTCCGAGCGCGTATCGATTCGTCGCTAAACCGCCGCCGGCGTTCCCGACCGCCACAACACCCGCATCTTCAATACACAATTAATACAACATCGTAAATGGGGGTAATCGGACGTCCTAAATACGATTCTAATATCAAAAATAATTTTACTATCGTCGTCGACTAAAAACCCGCGTTTTAACGTTTCGCGAGCTTTTTCCGCTTTTAATATTTAATTCTTTCGTATTAACAGTATTATATAATAAAGTAATTTCGAAATGGTCATCGATTTTAAATTTAGTATTAATAATAACGCGCTTACGTAAAATAATATAACTGGTAAAGAAAGAATATAGAAATCGAAAGAAGTACACTTAAAAGCGAGGAATTTAACGAATACCTCGCTACGAATCTCGTTAATAATACAATTAATATAAGATTAGATAAGCTTATATAGGTATTTAGAATCTTTATTCTTACCGTCCTAGCTATTGATTTTAAAGGTAGTAATAATATTATTATTGCGGAGGGTAGAAAATAATATTTTATATACTTTAATTTTAGATATACACTAGTTTTTGTAATCCTTTAGCTCTTCTTCTTTATTAGGTTCTTCGACGGTGCTAAAAATATAGTCGGGAATATCGAAGTTATCGAATTTAATTTCGAAGTAGCGTTATTAATCGTTTAGGTTGGATTCGCTTATAAAGCGGATAAGGGAAAACGGTTCGCTTATATCATTGACGGGTTGATACAATTTGAAAGAGATGGAGGGTTGATTGGTTATATTGGATCTTTGGGTTGGACCGGTCGGTAAGGTAGCTAAGTAGTAGATTGTCTTACTATAGCCTTAAATGTTCATACGTATTAGCGTAAAATAGGCAATATGTAATAAGGGGAGGGGAAAGATTGAAGGTAGCGAGGCGGCTGGACCTAGGGCTTGATTTTATTGAGTTTAGGGCGTGTTTGTTTCCCCTGAAATGTGGCTCTGAACCGTTCAGAGCCGTTTTTTAGAGTACTGTTTAGAAACGCGCTGAAATTTTTAGTACTGGAATCCCCACCAAAAAGGGACTCTAAAATTTCTTTCCCCACATTATTGAAATAGCTAATAGAATTGCGTGCATCGACTGAAATTCAAATTGACCGATTCTGAACTGCTCAAAATCGAGATGGCTATTGAATGGCTTTCTAAAAGCATATTTTTTACACTTTCAACCGCTACGTAATTACCCTTGACGTTAATAGAAATCGATAAAATTGATTGCTATACCCGCTAGTACTTTAATATAATACCGTTAGGCATTATATCGCCGTCGTATACGTACAATATAAGTAGTCGTAATACTTATTTGTACTAATTTAATATTATAGGCTTACCGTATCCCTATAAATACTACTAGAAATAGTTGGTTAACGATATACGAGCTCCTCTATAGGCATCCGGGCCGCTTCCAATTATTATTAAGGATAACGCCGCGTACTTTCTACGGGTTAGTAATGTGGTTTGGTAATTATATTACTTTATCCGGCTCGAGGAGGACGACGATATATGAGAAGGTATTAGTCTTTCTTTTTATTGTAATACAGGGCTTGACCTTTCGTATAACCGTATATATTTTTAATTTTAATTTGGAGATAGTATACCGGTTAGTAATCTTTACTAGTAGTTATCGTATAGAGTATTTACTTTAAACCTCAATACTAGGATATTCTATAAGGTTCTTAATGCTTGCCTTGTACTAGTATACAGGAAGGTTAAGCTCCCTCCCTTAGCTACCCTATACGAAATTGAATCTAACCCTAAATTCTTCCCGTACCTTCGTAAAGTATTAGGAGTTCTCGATAATTTGTATTTCGATATGAAAGTACTATATAAGGAATAAAGACTTTAGCGCAACTATAAAGGAGGTATCTTTATAAACGTTTTATTAGCTTGTAATTTCTCTAGTAGGATCGTATATATATAGCCTAATTAGGAGGGGTCGGTTAACGATATAAAGGTATTAAACCATATATACGCTAACAATTGTAATATCCCTAAAAGATGGGTTTACTTAATTAATGCGAGCTATAGTAATGATTCTAAACTCTTCGTACCGTACCGCAACGTACGTTACTACTTAAAGGAAATAGAGCGTGCCGGTTTGAGATTAATAATTTATTAAGAATTATATAATTTTCGTTACTCTTAAGCTCGGATTATTATTAAGAAGACGATTAGTCGGTTGAAGGGGACGTTTGGAATCTATTGCGTATTACTAATTTTCAACCCCGCTACGTAAGTGAAGGTGGTATACGCGATTGTTGCGTTGTTGAATTGGATTTTGGATTAGTACGGGTATAATTTCGAAGTGGAGGAGATAGTATATAATATTGTAGACCCCGCGGCCCGTCAAATTGTAAAGGAGACAGTAAATTTCTTACTTTCGATAGCGATAGCGGATTGTAGGGATAAATAATCAAATGAATCTTTATTACGACTATATTATAAAAAGGATATAGAAGAATTATTATAAGGAGTTTATAAAAAGGGGGGAAGTATAAAGTAGAAGGGGGGAGGAGGATAATTAACAATGGGGAGTAAATATATACTTCTAGCGCTAGCTGCCTAAATTACCCCTTAAATCGTTTAAATCGAGTAGAATCGTATTTATTGAACTATAAATTCAAACTGCTCGATTATACCCTAGAGTATGGCCTTCTTAAAAGATTGGTACTTCGAGTATAAATATAAAGTACAAAGTTTAAAAAGTTTAGATTTGAAATATAACGATATATTTAATATATTAATCGATATTAGCACTATCTAGCGCTATTTGTATACTCTTGGCGACCCGTACCCTCTACCGAAGACATTTATAGAATCACTTATATTATTGGTAAAAGTACTTCAAAATTAATATAAAGTAAATATATCGATTCGGCTTAATCTAGCGATTATAGCGCTACCTTTTTTATATATATACGATTTCTTTCCGTATCAGTGTTTTAGTATGTAAGAAAAATAAAAAAATAAAAAAAAAATCAAATCCGGGGTAAGTCCTACTTCCTTACTCCTTCCCGTCTATAGGAACCTTATATAGGAATAAATTACTATAGTACGTTATAATATAGCGTATTTATAGGTCTAAGTCGTCTAATTGTAAAGTAATTGAAAATAGGGCTAGGTCAACTAAACTAATATTAAAAGAATCCTCCTCTTCTTATAATTATAACACGGGCAAATCCTCCTCCTCCTCCTCCTGCTCTTTATTTTAAATACCTAATTTTTTTTCTTTTAATATATCGAAGTACGCTTACTTTATATTTTGGGAAATAATTACGAAGTAATATACGTCCGCCTTAGAATCCTTCTACTTACGTAAGGTATAAACGCTAATAATTAGATAGACTTTATACTCCTAATCCTTCTCAAATATTTTAGCCGCCTTTGTAAACTATAGATACAATTCGATAGGAGCGGGGTCCTCGCTACCCCTAGCAATTAAAGTATTAGTTAGATACTTAAAGCACTTAACGATAGCCTCGCCATTACTCCTCTTCTTCTTTTTTTAGGATTAAAATTAGAAGTAACCCTTTTCTTACCGTTACGTATATAAGCGGACATTGTAAATTCCCCCGCTACGTCCTTATTAAAAGATTCGTACGGCGCGGTTATAAGAGGACGCTCCTTATAATTAAGTAGGATACCTAATATTAGCGCCTTACCCCTACTAGCACCCTAGTCGTTAACGAAGGCCTCCTCTATTAATTCTTTATAGGGTAGCTCCTTACTACAGAATTACGTACAATCTTTATAGCTCTACGAATATAATTAGGTAAATTATTAACCAGATTAAATATAGTATAGGAGTAAATATTAACCTTAAGAAAAGTATCCCAAATAGAATCGTCTACAATATACACGCCGTTCTCGTACCCGAAACCAGACTATCCCACCGCGCCAACGAGGGCTTACTATAAACCCTACTTACGCTTAAAATAGTCCACCTTATTACATACTTGTAGAATATCGAACTCAACGCTATATTTATTGCGGAGAGCTTTAATAACTAAATTATATACCACCTCCTTATAACTACCTTGATTAATTAAACCGTTATCGACTATACCCTTTAATATAATAAGTACAATAACCTCTTAGCTATCGCTCTACTACCATAACCTCTTCTTTTTACCTTTACTAATCGTAGTCGGTTAGCTAGCGGTCTAATTGGCGGTCTAGTCGGCTATTTGACTAGCTATCTAATTAGCTACCATATGGCTAGCGGTCTGGCTAATAATTTAACTAGATTGTATAGATAGGGGTGTTATAGAGGGGAGAGGAGGGCGCTGGCCGGTATTACTAGCTATTTTGGGTATAATAAATGAGGGTATAAAAGAGGGTGTTAAAGAGGTGCACAGTCTATTGTTATATCGATTTATGGACCTTTAAATACGAAATCCAGACTTTTCTGATTCTGGTGCGCCAAACGGGACATAGAAAGTCCGCTCTGAACAGGAACAGGGTGGAGCTCAAAATCTCGGCATTTACCGCCAAAATCCAGTTTAGGAGGGTCTGTGCTGTTCCTCTGAAAGCCACTTCAGAAAACCCACTTCAGAAGGCCATTTCAGGGGAAACAAACACGCCCTTATTGGAGGTGGGCGCTTGGGTACGCGCTTGTCGGTCGCAGAAGATTGAAGGTAGCGAGGCGGCTGAACCTAAGTACGTAATCTTCGACGCTATCTTTCTTAGCGAAGGATTCGGTTGGCTTAAAGAGTATACGTTCAATTGATTAAGATCGCGTATAATTGAAGCGCAGCTGTTATAGTCTAGGGAAAGAAATATTTTAATACGAAATGAGCAAATACAGCGGAGCTTCTCTATAATGGGGGTAAACTCCTATTAAATACCCTTGTAAGTTTTTCGTGCTATAATTGGTCCGTTGCCTATTATTCTATAGAGTGCGTTCTTTAATTGATTAAATTTAAGGTAAATCCGTACTTTAGATTAATTGAATTTCGCGTAATCCATATATACTATAGGGGGTCTAGGGGGGTGTCCCCCTAGTAAAGAAGAAAAGGAAATAGAAATTTTGAAATATTAAAGTATTAAAGCAATAAAGTAATAAAGTAATAAAATAATACAAAGTAATAAGAAGCGATAAAGGAATAAAGTATTGGAAGCATTGCAAAACCTTAGCGTTGGAAGTTGGAATATAATTTAGAATTCAAAGTAGACCGCCAAAATTTGAGTTAATGATTGAGATTTAACTTGGCGTTTAAAGCAGACCGCTAAAATTTGAGTTATATAAGATTGAGATTTAATTAGACGTTTAAAGTAGACCGCCTAAATTTGAATTAATGATTGAGATTTAACTTAGCGTTAAGGTAGACCACTAAAATTTAGCGTTGGTGATTGAGATACTACCCTAGACCTATATAACAGCTGCGCTTTAGTTAAATTCTGCTGGCGCCCCGGAACACGATGTTATAGGAGGGCTTGTAATTTGTGAATAGGTATAGGTTATTGATTATATTGTGTGATGTTATAGAGAGAGAGAGAGAGGCGGCTAGTTTGGAGGGCTGAAATAGGGCACGAGAGGGAGCTAGGGCCGTGCGCCCAGATAGGTAAAGGGCGCAACGGCACAGAGGCACGTGACAGGGACGGCCCTCTCAACATAAAATCGTTAATCGAGGGTACGGTCCGACTAAGAATAAGGTAATTAAGCGGGCAATAGCCGGGATTAATTTATTAAAATAGGAGGTGGAGGTACGAATAGGGGGTTTAATTTGATTAGTAGTATATATTATAGAATATATTTAAATAAATAAAATAAATTATTAAATCTCTTATTCAATGTATATATTTCCTATCTAAGTAATTTATTAGGCTTCCTAATTACGCTGTATTAATAAATCGTAGTATATAGTATGGGTGTTTAGTATATAGATGGGACACTTTGCTAGTAAATATCTATGTGGGGTGTCCTAGATTAAAATACTGTCCCAAATTTTTGGCGCCCCCTATATTGACGAAATGGAGGGGGCAAAGAAAGCTTGGCGCCTAGAAGCCCCCAAGTAGGGAGCAGACGCCTTCCACGAAGGCTTGGCAATGTGAGGCGGGCCACATATGGCCCAGGTCAATGCTACCGGCAACGTAATAATCCGGTGTGTCAAGGGCGGGATGGTAGCGAGACGACGAGACAATATAGACTCTGCTACCACCGTAAGCCCGCCCGCAGCAAAAATCGTCTTCGTCATCTTCGTAAAGGTCATGATCGACCAGCAGCAGGATGGCATAGTGTTGTCGGGTGGGTTCATGTCCCTACCCCTCCCTTGTCTTATCGTGTAGGTCTATGCCCTCACACCCTTCCTATATTTTCTAACCCTCCACAGTTCTTTTCCGTTTCTAGTCTTTTCTCCATAACACATATATCTATACATCGTTTTGCCCTTTAGTCCAAAAGGTTATAAGCCCTCTAATTGCGTATCGTATCGCTATTACTACGCGTATTTAATAAGAATCAATTAAGACGTCGTCGTACTATATTTGCGTATACGTCGCATTATAAAACCCCGCCTACTGATAAAGAGAGTCCCTCGGCGGGCAGTGTCTCAGTAATACCTAACCCTGTAAAACTCTATAAAACCCTATCATATTTTTTATAGTGTTTAACGTTCTGGTAGTATTAAAATTCGATATTTCGTAATAACGTATTGGTATTGAGGTTACCTACTGATATAAGCAAATTGTACAAAAGAAATTCAAGTATTTATATTCTAACTACCTATCTAAACTCCCTTCTACTCTCCTAACTTCCTTTTTAAGGGCTTAATAGGCCTCCCGATTCTAATTACCGCTATAAGTACTAACGAACGTATTATAGTACGTTTTTTACGGGGAGGCTATTCGTTAGAATTTAAAGGAGTAAGGGGATCGCTTAAGGGCGCGGCAATTTAAAGGTTAGAAGTAGAGTCGTTGTCTAAAGCAAAAGGATTTAACGAGGAGGGTAATCCTTCTAAAACTTACACTTCGATAGCAGAACCTATAATAAAAGCTTTACTAGGTTTATCGCCCGTATTAACCTTATTAATTATCTTCCAGCGAGATTGGCGCCGGCGGAGCGATGGTTTTAATATTTAATTAGTCTTTGCCAAGTTCTTTATACCCTTCTTTATACCCTTTTTTATACCCTTCTTTCCTACTTTCTTTCTTACCTTCTCCTTCCCCTTCCCTATCCCTTTTATAATATTAGGAACTTACTAATCGTACGGTAGCTCTACCGTACTATGCTTTAGGCGTCCCCTAGTTCTATCGGTAATTTCAAGGTCTTTAATATATAAATAGGGATTATATTTATTCTAATATTAATAGAATATTAATAATTAACGAGAATAGAAAGGAAAATAATAAAAGGGAAGAGAGTAGAAGTAAAGAGGATATTACGTACTATTAGTACCCGGATATAATAGTAATAGTAAATATCCTAACGGCCAAGTTAGTTTTGAATCTTAAATTTTATTAAAATTTTATAATAATAAAGGATACTTGTTGGAAGTCCGTGCCCTGGGCCGCCCATTCACTGGCCTCGCCCATTCACCGGCACTCCCTTCCAGGTATTTAGGCTGCCCTAGTTTCCGTTTCTCCTCTTCCGTTAGACAACTACAATCAAGCCCTTTTCGTTGTCGCCTTCCAGCCTCCATCAATACTATACTACTTTTAAACGGTATAATAATACTCCCCCAACTCCTGTACTAATTTCTTTCCTGAAGGTATTCTAAATTAAACAATATATAATTAACGACAAATAAAATTAAGGCTACAATATATAATTCGCTAGGTTAAATTTCCCAATACTTCTATTCCTAGCCTAGTGAACTCGCTGTCACAGGGCTAGATCACATGCCCTCTGCCAGTTGTGCCATGGCTGCCATTGGCCAGTGCACTGCACTGCTGCATGACAGAGCCATGGCACTGGGCAGCCTTGGCAGGGGTCACGGGGTAGATCCACAGGTGGATCTCACCCATGCCCTATATCTGCCCTGCCTGCGCACACCTTTCTTGCTTCCCTCGTACAACAACAAAGATCATACCTCATACCTAACGGTGCCCTCGCCCCGTGATACTCGCTTCGTATCTTTATATTTTAATTAATAATATCTTTACTCCATTAGTTACACTCCCTTTTAAATTATAGCGTAAATAGAGGAGACTAAAGTAAAAAGATCCGTCTTCCCATTAATTAAGAATCCCTTTATCCGGGAAATAATTAATTCGTTAGGGGATATAACCATTAACCAAAAATTACAGTACTAATAAATATAGTAATGCGTCTACTAATAGAAATATAATATATACGTATCTTTTAAATATAGTAATATCTTCTATTATTTAATAAAGTCAATAATCAATTACTTCCATCGTTATATAAATATAGCTTTATTAAATATAAAGATTACCGTCTTCCAAAATTTAAAAAGACTATAATAAATGTATTCAACGCCCTTTTAGGAATTTGAGGTTTTAGCCACCGTTTAGGAGCTTAGGGTTTTAACTACCGTTTATAAAGTCATTTTATTAATTTAATTGAGAATAACGGACTCTTACTCGCCTTCGCTACTAGAATCGCTATCCTCGCCGTCGGCCCGCTTCTATTTCTTCTTTACCTATAATAGAACGTTATAACTAATATAAAATATATAGATCTATTATTAAGCGTCTAAGAATACCGTTACCAAAGCCATCTTTATCTAATTAATAAAGTCTATAATAATAACCTCTAATTTAATTGCCCTCGCTTTAATACGCAATTTTTCAAAAGCACCGGCCAGCTAGGTAAAGCTATCAGCCCTCTCACTATTAATTAAACTAAACGCGGCAAGATAAATAGAATTAGTATTCATTATACCAATAACGATAGTAAAGGGGTAACTATGTTTAATAATTATATGCGTATTATAATAGGGATAACAATAAATTAAAAGAAATTAAATAAAGAGAAGTAAGTGGCTATACCAATTAATCTTATAAATATTATTTACACCCGAATACTCTAAGTAATTCTACTATTACCCTAAATAGAACTTCCAAGACTATATAATACCAAATAAACAATTAGGGTCGTTTTTAACCTATTTAATAACGTAAACAATGCTAATTTCATCGAAATATTTAATAATAGTAGTAATAGCCTCGTAATTATAGCGTTACAATTTTTTAATACGCTAACGCTAATTATTAATATCCTTATATATAAAGGTAGTAATGTTAAACTCGCGTTTAATAATGATTAAAATATTTCGTAATTTAATATTAGGTTAGTAAAATAAGGCGGCCACTCTTATATATACCTTATCAATCCTTTTACGGAGTTATAAGTGAATGGAATCGTATAGAGAGCCTCGGTAATTATAAATATAATACTTAAAATCGGCAAACGGTTAATAAATTTATTACTAATTATTTCTCTAGAGGGCAATTATTACCCTAGATCATTAGCAATTATATTTGCAACTTCTTATCCTTCTAAACTTAGTAATAGAAGGACGAAATTGGCCATAGCGGTCGCACTTCAAATAGTAGTACGTTAA